AAGTTGTTTTTCCTGCCACTGTCTGACCCCCACCACGCTGTGACCTCCCCACGCTGTGGACCCCCACCATGCCATATGAATCCCCATCAGAGTGTGTGAATCCCCACCACTCCATGTGACCCCCATCGCACTGTGTGAGCTCCCAGACCCTGTGACTCCCACACACAATGCAACACCCCAAGCGGTGTGGCCCCCACACACCTCGTGCCCCCCTCAGCACACAGCCCCCCAGCTGGAGGCAGGCTCCCTCCTTCCTCCATCCACGGGGGAATCACACCCCAGCAAAGCAGGATCCAGGTGTTGACCCTAGCCCTGACCCCTCGCTGGGTTCTCCCCCATGCCACTGGCACTACCCCATCCCTCTCCTGGAACAGCTGGGAATCTCCAAGGAGCCAGGGGTGGCCTAAGCGGAACCCGATGCCACATGGCCAGGGGATGCCTCAGCACCCGGGGTGTCCTGGTGGGGCTTTATCACCAACATGCTGCAGGCTAAAGTGGGCAGGATGAGGCCGGCCCCATTGAGCTGGTGCTGGAGTGAAGCTGGTTGTGGGGCTGGAAGGAGACCCAGGAGTCAGCTATGGGGCAGGGCATGGGCACAAGAGAGGACTGGTTGTACTTCGGAGTAGGGAGGTGCACCCCTGCCTCTCTCGGGGTCAGAACCAGCACCAGCAACTCCTCAGTCTCAGCTCCCGGCTCATCTGCTACGAGGCAGGTACCAGCACCCCAGGGACTGGCTCGCACCCACCCATACTCCCTCCAAACATGACTTTGGCTGTGGTGGTGCCTGGCCCCGTGCCAGAGTACTCCTGGGGCTGAACCCTGCCTGGGGCCAGTGGGTTCCAGCACAACCTGCCCGTGCTGGCTGGGTGTTTGTGCTGCATGCCACCGTGTTTGCACTGCACACAACCCTGCTGTTTGTTTGCATGGAGCCACAGGAGCCAAGCCCGGTGACGGTGACGGTGGTCATGCCGCAGGCAGAGCAAGCACGGGGCGCTGCTCTCCACTGGCAGCACCATGTTGGCTGAGCCATCTCCCCGTGTCCAGCAGTGTGATGTGGCTGTGCCCGCATCCTTCCTCCCCGCACATGCTGCAACATCCGCTTGCCTTCCACAGCCCGTGCGGATGCCCTCTGCCCACCAGGATGGCTGCAGCCCTGACGCACTCCTGCCCCTTTGCTGTGAGCCCCACACCGGCAGCCCCCTCTTGCCCCACTCTGGATTTCCTCAGCAGTGACACATCCTTCCCCACCGCACATCATCACATCCCCTTTCCCGGGAAGAGCTGTCACGTGGCTGTGCCACCCCTCCTGCCATGGGCACAGGCACCCTGGCGCAGGCACCAGTGCTGCCACTGGCTATCCGGGGTTGGCCTCGCCTTCCCCTCACCAAAGCCTTGCAGGGTGCAGGAGGATTTGAGGACACACTGCTCACCCAAGAGCACCAGTGCAGCTCTGTCTCTGCAGGTCACTAGAAGGAGGCAGGAGAGCGCCCTGGTCTCTGGCCCAAGTGGGTGGCCAGGGGTGACAGGAGCCGGCCACGCTGTGACACATGTGGCTGGCCCCGGTGTTTTGAGATCGTTGTTTTGGGCTCGGCTCCCATGTATTGGTTTGTGGCCAGTTTAAACTGGTTAACAGCTTTTATAAGCTGTGGGATGAGTGGGATGCTGTGAGTGCCAGCAGCTCCAGAGGGGAGCCCACACCTGTGGCTGCTGGTGCTCATGGTCATGAGAGCCCACACGCCCGGGGTGGCCGGCACAGCTCTCTGGGCAGCAGATGCCCACTCACAGCCCAGACCAGAGGCGAGCAACACTGAAGCTCCTTACCAGGCTTTGGGCTGCAGCATCTTCCCCTCCAGCACGGCCCCAGCAGCCAAGCAAGCCGGTGCCACCCTGCAGCAGGAGGAGTGGGGGGACGCCACCCACCCGCTGCTCTTCATCCAGCTCAACCAGCTGCTTAGCACCTCGGTGGGGCTGGAATGGAGGGAGACAGCCAGGTAGGCACGCCTGCAGTAACCAAGCTGCTGGACAATGCTTTGGCAAGCCCAGGCTTCAAGACCCCAGCTCTGATGGAGCCCACAGCATCTCTGAAGGATGGTGGTTCCTCAGCCTCAGCCCCGGAGCAGGGCTGCTTGCTGTCCTCTGCCCCTGCCGGTGCCTGCGCTGCTTCTGCCCAGCTTAGGGTGACTCGTTTCATGGGAGTGGGCAGGGTGTCAGGCAGTGTGCAGGCAGCGACCCTGTACGGGCACAGTGCCCATGCTTCTGCTCCTGCCTTTGCTGCCTCTCCAAGGCTCCAGCAGCTGCGCCAGGGCTGGGATGGTGCTTTGATGCTCCCCAGCTCCAGCGGCCTGTCATTTTAACGAAAGAGGCTGGGGGGTAGGGCAGGGCAGGCTTGGCCGGGGATGGTGGGGCCCAATAGAAAGGAGCTGGGGCCCCAGCTGGGTGCCGGTGTGGGGCAGGAGTGTGGCTGGGATGTTCCCATGCCCCACACCACTCCTCCACCTCTCGATAGGGGCACAGGGACATGGGCTGCGGGGGCCTGGGGGCAGCAATGGATCTGCCCCAGGGTTCAGAAGGTCTAGGAGAGGGCTGTGAAGGCTCTCCCCAGCACCCAGCCCTCTTCTCCCCGGCAGAGCTGCACACCAGCAGGAGCCTGCTCTACCAGCGCACGCTTGCCCCGTGCAGCACGCTGAGCCACCCCGCAGCAGCGCGCCCACCCATGGGGACAAAGGGAAGCTCTGTCTGAGCGTGGCATTAAAATATTTGGCACAGCCTGAGTGTGGCAAACAGCTCAAGACACTTCTGTTTTGATTCCAGCAAGCGCTGCTAACAGCAGGGCAATCTTGAGTCCCAGCACAGCCTGGGGACGGTTGGACTGGGAGCAGCCCTGTAGAGGACTAGGGGGTACTGGTGGGTGACAAATGTGACATGAGCCAGCCTTGTGCACTCGCAGCCCAGAAAGCCAATTGCATCCCAGGCTGCATCAACGGCAGCGTGGCCAGCAGGGCGAGG